TTCTGTTTCCATAAGAATTTTTCAAAAATATTATTTCAGAAAGATAATGTTTTCCGCGAATGATAAATGATTGAAGTACACATTAATTTTCGTAATTAGTGTCTCTAGAATTCCCTGGCGCGGAGGAAATGCTGTTTTTGCGATTCTTTCGTTTATTTTGCAAAAAAAGAGAAGGAATTAGAACGACCGGAATCATCCCTTTGTTTTTGTAGCCACCGCACTGGCAACATTTGCATTTTAATCCCCACTTGAATCCATTTCCGCGAACCGAGTCTAAAAACAGCCAAGTATATGTATACACGTAGCGCCGTAACGGTGGTATCAAAAACTGCACCCCTTGATTCTCCCGTGATTATTCGCCGAAATTTACGAACTGTGAACCCGCGTGTTATCGTTAACGTGCTGGAACCGCGGCGGAATGGAACGACGCGACGTTCCACATTACCCAGGGAAATCTTGCGTAACAAAGTTCCGCTTCGCCGAAAGAAAATAGGCAGACTGTCACTGCAAACCGTAGATTGTCATATCGCCCGAATAATACTGGATTTAACCTGGTTGCAGGGAAATTAAATAACCGGAGCGTGGATTCCCTTGGAGCAATATTTGCAGTTGTCGTTATTCAATTCATAACGGAACGATAAATTTCAGTTATCTATCATAAGATACAGAAGTAGTCATATTCCAGTGACGTTTTTGCTACTAAAATTTTTGTGAAAAAATTCAATTTTGCATTTAGCTGTAGCTGTGACTAATTTTTAACTTGGAAATATTAAAAAGAACAAGTTCCTTCTTTTTTATTATCACAAGATTACGATGGATGAACTAATTTTTAACTTCTGATATAAAATTCTTCTAAAGTGTATAAAAATCGAATCCGTAGAGTTTATGTGAAAATGCAGAAAATATTTTTATTTTATTTTATTTTTTCTTTTATTTCTCAAAGTAAACAATATGTTTGTTTGACTGAATGACAAAATTCAAGAAAACGCATTTTGTACGGTAAATACAATATTAAACACAGCTATCTGTCCGAAAATTCAAATGGTAACGTCACTGACCTAGAAACTGCACTCTAATCTCCGTGATTCAGCCGAGTAAACGATGGTAGTGTACATATTAACCTATTTAATCTGGTAAAGCTCATTACGACTTCCGCTCCGTACCATAACAATTATTTCCGTTGACTTTCAGCAGCTTTGTACGTACATGGTGTATCGAAAATCGATGTCTCATTAGAAAGAACGTCGCTCCGGCAAGTTGCGAGCGTGGACTGAAAATTATTTGGAAATTAATTATGAAATTTCTTGGCTGCTCCGATACTTTAATACACATTCATGATATACACATTATTATGTGCATACATTATTCGCTATTTATATTATCAACTACCTTTCGTTGATCTAGCTAATGGCCGCCAGTCAGAATTCGACCTATAATATTTTTAGCCGTAAAATGTGCAAATATCCGTTTCATTTTATTACTTCGCTGTATCGGTATATCTCTTGAATGGTTCAATTTCCGTGGCGAACGATTTTCGATTTTTAGTATATATAAAACCATCGATACGGTTACAACCTGTTTAATAAATGTTCAGTTATTGAAAAAGTTTTTCAACGATCCGAACAAGTGCGCAGCTGTTGTGGCCGCGACGGGGGAGCAACACAACTGGGGTAAAATATTTACAGTTCACAATCCCTCGTAAATTCCACCGCACGACAGCGGAGTATCACTTTTCTACCGGCTGCTTCTGTTTCGGGTGTTAAAGTTGATGTTTCTTTTCTGGCACGAATAGATCTCTTTGGTTCGGTGTCCCATATAAAATGATCTATGGCCGCAGTAAACGTGATACGAAGAAGAAACAAACAGGGGGAGCATCGTTTTCTTATGGGTTAGATAGTGTGTTCATCAATAATAAGGGTATCCAGCTGATTTTTCCTCAGGGGTAGGTAATCTATTAAGAAAGTCGTGTATATATCTCGTGGGCAATATAACTGGACAATCCCCTAGGACATTATGTACAATTATTCTCCAATGCTGTTGGCAATTATACACGATTGCCGGCAGTTATGTATAATTTCCGAATTAATCGTATTTGCCGTGATATATATATATATAAGGCTAGTGTTTCTTATAATCGATGATTCAACTGGAGTGGGTCGCTCTATATAAAAAATATCGCAACATAAAATAACATTTTTTATTGGAATTTGGTTTCAAAAACATTAAGTTCGAATACGTTCCGTTGGATGTTAGACAAATTTTCGAATTGAATTTTGTCAAAGACAAGATTCTAAAGAAATAAATTTAAGTTTATATTGTCAGTTCATTTTTCATGTGGAATGAATCGTGTCTTGGTTATATTCTAAGTTATAGGACACCTTGTACATGTGAATTGGAAGTCCTGGGAAAAGTATCGACCTAGTAGTCTTCCAGTAGTGAGTAAAGAATGACCTCATAGATTTACCGTTCATCCTGTGCCATCAATTACAGTAGAAGGAGCATTAAAGACAAAGTTACTGATAAACCATTTTATCAGTAGCATCTGTTGAAACTCAAGAGCAGATTATAGACTTACACAAACGTGCCTATCAGATTAAAGTATCAAATTTTCGAAGGGATTACTACTGGAACTGTTAAAACAGATACACAATGCCATTCATTCCACTGGTTAAACTATCTCTGCAAAAATCGAAGTTTTAAATGATTCAATCTTCTTACATTCAAGACATTTCCGCAAGACATAAAAAGAAAATATTTCCACTTTACGCTTACTAAAAAAATTTCTCCATTGCTTCCAAACAATCCAAAACCTTTCAAACATCGCCGAACATCGTTAAACATTACCGAACACGTCCGAACCTCGTCGAACACGATCGGACATCACTGATCGCCGGCGATCGAAATGGAACCTCACCTTACCGAGCCGGACTGGTCATTCCTCCCGTTTTAAACGATTGATATTCCGCGGGGCCGCTCGCCCTAAGAATATGATCTGTCCTAATATAACGGCCCGCAATAAATATCCGACGAGATGTCAATATCGCCGTGTTATGGATGGTCTGGCCAATATCCGCGCGAGATGAAGCGACGCGGTTCGAGTGCTCCGTAAACTGTTTGAGTGGGCCGTAAACCTCGGGACGAGGCTGGGCCGTCATCGTCTCCGCCGGCGGCTTCATTTTAATGTATTCCGAGTGTGTTCCGGTCGTGCTTCGCGATCTTAATTGAAAATTCAAGTGGCGCCCGGTTTCACCCACCGCCGCTGACCCCATGAATATGGAGCACGTCACCTGGACAAATCGAACGTGATCGGATAACAGGTGGACCATCGGAGCTTCTTCGGAGGCGAGCCACCTCCTGCAGCAGCTACTCCCGATGCGTTCGGTTCGTTAAGTTCGGACCAACACGAACGGCCGAAAAGGAAGTTGCACGACGGACGATCGATCGGCAGCGATATATTTTAGGATATCCTTGCTCGTGTTACTTTGTTAAGCGTTGCGGATGCCACGGCTACGGTCATTGTCAGGTCCGCGTTAAAATTAGCGAGGATAACGGGCTGTGCTCTATGGAAGACCGTGAAGTTATGGAGGTCAGAGTCGATTTCGATTTAGAGCCGATAGGGACGTGTTAGCCCCGGCTGGTCTCGGCGTTAGAGCTGACTCTACAGCGACCCGCCGACCTCCGTTGTCACACGCGATGAGCGTAAAGCATTGATCGATACTCTCCTCTCGCCCCCCTCCTTCCCTCCCACGCTCGCTCCTTCTCTGTTTCACCTCCGAAGGATGAGAATTGCGGTGTCGCCTGTCTGCTTTTCGGATGATCTCTCGGCGAATCACGGAGGGAGCATTGGCGAAAGGGGATGTGGGTTTAAACGTTGGGGGCGGTTGATACGCGCACATCGTGAAAGTTGTTTGCGACTAATCGACCTGCGCCGTTTAAGATGTAGGACAATGACGGGATGGATATTTGTTGCGCCGCGCGATGTACGGATGAATGCATGGTGCTTGAATGCTGTTGCGAAGTGGTTGATGTATGACTTTGTTTATGTGTATTTTAATCACGTGAAAGAGGTTTTAGAACAGTTTGTGCTTTCAGCGAGATTTTCGTGGAATTCTTTTGGTACCTAATATATTTAATCTTTGATAAATGTTTTACACTTTTCAATACGAATTTATAGTTTCTAGGTATCACTTCGTGATGTTTAAATTTGTGATTAACGAATGTGGAAATAATTATATTTTCTTAAATTGTAGGTACTTATCTTCATGTGTCGAAAAATGTGAAGTCTTCGAAGCAAACAACATTTGTTTCGCGTATCATGAAAAAGGCGTTTACTATTAAAAAATCTGGTTTGTATTGCAACACGTATACAAACTATTATACCAACTCTTCGTAGCATCATTAGCAACCGCTTATAATTATAAACTTACAGCGGACACTTCAAATGTATCCAGTACTTTAAAAAGTTCTTTCCCACCGGTAATGAATAAATATTGAACCAAATATTAAAAGAAATATTAAAGTGCCGTTACTTTTTACCGGCAGTATTTACCCAGCGAAACATCATTTCGAGAAGGAACTTCATTTGCCAGCTCCCGTTTTCGCGGCGAAAGCATCCCCGCGAACAATTTTCCCGTCCCAGGGCAAATAAATGGACGAACGAGATTCCTAATACCGTCCGGAGATTTTTAATTTCCAAGGGAGCTTGATTACGTTTCCCGCGGCCCACGGTTTCGAGCTTTTAACGTGCGGTATTGGACGCGAAATAAACTTTATCAAAATGAATTCGCGAGTCCCGCCGGGAAGTTTCTTATTAGACCTTGATAATCTGCCGCAGCCGAGGGAAATTAATTCGCGAGGTTTCCACGGTCTAAACTTGGACCTTTGTGCTATCTTCCGCGGGCTGGGGGGAAGGAGATGAAAGTGGTTCCGGGGGTTGGTGGGTTGAAACGTCTATAACATACACACAAGTATTTCGAACGTTTTTAAGCGTTCTCGCCAGCTTGGCCTGCTTTCCTTTATTTTCTTTTTCTCTCCTCCTAGCAACGTTACACCTTGAAAAAAGAGGCTTACGTAGGTAGAGACATAGGTAGCGATTAATCGTTAATTCCTCGATTTCTTTCTCTTATTCTCTCTTTTTTTTCTCTTTCTCTCCCACTCTCTCGCTCTCACTTTCTCTCTCTCTCTCTCCCTTTCTCTCCGATTTAACATTAATTAAAGATAATATGTACTGTACCCCGCGTACCTGGCGATACGCGACGAGTTTAGGCACTTTTGAATCGTACGTGCGCGACGTTCAGAACACCGTGCAACGCTTTAGCCCGTACTTTGCACCGTCGATAAGACTTATCTGCGACATTCCACGTTTCTATTTATCGTGCACTATCGTTCCGCGTGCCGCGTCATCGTCATCGCTTTCTGTCACATACCGAGTCTAGCGATCTGTAAACACCTTCCCCTGGAAGCTCGTAGAAAGTTCTGATTGCGCTCCGATAAACCGGATTATCCCCGGGCCAGCCGACCACCGTACCAATCCTCGTTGCGATCATCGGACGAGGATCCTCCGGATCTTTCGCGACGTTCTCCGACGATCGTACAATGGAACAGCAAGTAAACAAAAAGGAAAAAAAATAGAAACATAAAAACGTGCGTTCCTTCTTCCGTTTCCATTTTCTCCGTTTCATTCCAGCTTTCTCCCTTTCTCCTGGCAGCGTTCCGTGTAAAAACATAATCGTGTGTATCGTAAGCATAGCATTTATCACAGACATCAGCTGCGCAGCTTCTGGACGTTTATGGTTGCAAATGATAGGTTCGAACCCGGAAGTCTCGGTATTAGCGAGCTTCATTTCGTTCGCGGTTTCCAAGACCAGTTCTGGGTTTTTAGGAGTCGACTTTGTAGGAGTCGACGTTGAAGACGGTTTTCCGAACGAGATGCGTACGCTCGTCCGTCTTTTCTTCGTCGTTCTCGTAATCTAGGGATCGTACACTGAACATTTACGACAGACAGTGGAACTTGATACGGTCCATTGGAATGTTAGCACTGAAAGACTCGTGTCCTGCGTTACCGACGATTCTTATCGCGATGATAGTTCTCGCGGTCTGGTACCGTAGATCGTTCGCTATGATTCCACGCTATCGCTAAAAGACCTACAAACGGTTCGAGACGCGATTTATCGGGTCGCCGCACGTGAACCGCGGGAGATCTTTCGGAAAATTGTGTTGTTCGAACGTTGTATGCGACGGTCACCGAAATAAATTGAGCGGCTTTGATATGATTCAAGATGAGATCGTCGTGGGAAACTTGAACTTTTGAGAGAATGGAATTCTTCGAAGATACGACCGAGTGCTGTGTTTCTTTCGTTGATCCTTCGATTGCAAATTTTGAAGTGCGTCTATGCACATAGTGCAAAAATTGATAATTGTTGTAGCTAGAATTTATAAAATGTTTGAAGTCTTATTAATGATGTTTTTATAGGAAAATTAAGTCAGACTTACTTAAAAGTCGCGCTAGAAAAATGTTCCGACGGATTAATGAATTATTATTTCTTATAGAAATGTTCGTTAATGTCAGAACACTTTTCATGTAAATCTAATCCGTGGTAAATGCATGTAAATGTTAATGGTCCCAGTATAAAAAACTTGTATTTGCATTCGATTCGTAATTATAAAATCAGATTTTGTCCGCTACAACTACTTTAAATAAATTCGAAATCATTTTATTTGGAAAGGAACATAGCTTAATAACAAACGTCAGTGTTTCTTGCGTAATTCCGACGTTCGATGAACGATTATTGTACATATCAGAACAATGAATATGAATCCAATTTATTTCTATTATTTACAGTTTATGTAATGATAGTAATAACGATAATAAGCTACTTTACAAAATATTTTATTTCATTCGAAAACGCTAACACCCACATGCCCATCAGATACAAAAATCATCCGCAGGAATAACTTCGCAGCGTCACAATTCACGGGCAAAGAACCTTGAAATAAAGAAAAATTCATTTCTCCATGAAAATCATATTTTCCGCAAGCTGAAGCCGACAGAAAATCTTTTAGATTCATATTCAGTGCGCAGGAACACACAAGCATCATCTGTCAGTTTAATACAAAATACTTGTCGTCGTAAGTTTAATTCGCAGAAGCGTCTCCCGAAGATCCATGAAATCACGTGCGACAACCCATCGGTGTGACACCGTAACGCTAATCACATTATGAACTGTCTACGTTCCTAATACCGACAGATACATCCATTATTTCCGATAAGAGTCGAGTGCCATCGGAACGGGAACCTGGTCTTGGACGGAAGCGTATAAAGGAGACGTTCGAAAAAGAGGGCGAGTGCGACGAAAAATACGTGTGTATACTGTCTAAACGTTACCGATCTAAACGCGTTATCCGTGGACGCTACGAGTGTCCCCCGATGTCGTTTTCGTGCCGGACGAAAACGGGTCGCGGATCACGGTTTCATTGTAGTAGGCCGCCTCTGTCGTAGCTGACAGACTTGAACGCGTCCTCGACCAAATCTGTCAGACACCTGACTGCTTGCAGCAACGCCGCGAGTAGCAGGGAGAGCGACAGAGAGATCAGTTTGCTAGGCACAAGAGCGTTCTCCGAGGAACTTTGACTTCTACTCGATATCTTCTTCCTCTTCCTTTTCTCGAAACTTCTCGCACTACCGGGCTCCTTGTCCTTCTCTTGACTCCTATCACCGGACACCATACCGCGGCGTGTCCTGCTAGGTGACTTCTCCCTGGAACTTGTGCCCCTATCTATCGATTCCTTGGACGATCTCATCTTCTTCGGATCATTAGCACCGGCCACTGTGAAACGTCTATGGGAAGCGATGGACTCGATCTTCTTCCTAAAGTCTTCCGTCCTAGCCTCCATGATGGTCCAACGTTTCTCGTCCATCCCTCTCCTGTTCAAACTCCTCAGAAACTTCTCCCTGGAAGTTTGCAGTATCTCCTCCGACCTAGCCTTCCCGGAAAGATCCAACGTGTTGCCGTTCGCAGACTCGAACAGAAGATTCTGTAGCGAGCTCTTTCCGGTTTCTAGCTTATCGGCGGAGTCCAGATTCGGGAAGGTCGAGTTCTCGTCCAAGGAGTTCGTTCTGTTGTGACACTTGTCGCGGCACAGTAGCTTCTTCTCTGCGCACGTGGTGTTGAGATTGTAGTCTATAGTTGTCGGTTCTTCGGGTCCGGATGAACACAGGCGGATGTTCTCTTTGGATCCTTCGAGAACGATTCTCCTGGGTAGCGTTTTGTTGAGACTGTTCGGGATGAAGTTCATCGCTTTCGCGGCGTAATTCGAGTTCTCCTCCTGCACGATCGGTGAACCGTTCATAAAGTCGGCGTTCGAGCAGTTCGCTGATCCTGATTGTGTAGTGTCTTCAGCGTTGGTCGTGTCCGAAGACAGCTCGTTAGAGGGATCAATGACACCGACGCCGGGATTATCGTCTTCGTCGTCGTTGTCTTTGATCGTCAGATCGCGCTCCATCCAATCCTGCTCCTCTTCATCGTCCTCTTCGTCATCCTCGTTTTCGTCCTCGGACTCTAACGACAAAGTTTTCTTCTTCTTTATCACTGGGACGATACCATCAGCGTAGAGGAGATCCTGTACATCGTACAGGCTCTTCTCGATGCTCGGACTGTTGTACAAAAGATTCCTTAGCTCCGGGATATCCAGATCCTGTACATGAAGTAAATTCTGTTCAATGTTCAACAGGCTCTCTTCGATCTGAACCAAACACTGCTCGATGTCACAAGCTGGCTCAGCGTGAGTGTCACTCTCCAACGTCGCCTCCGTCTTAGTCTTCATCGTCTCATTATCATCGGCGACGCTAACATTCGCCGACTTCAGTTTCTGCTCCTCGGGCATTGAAGTGTTAAACAAATGCTCTCTCCAAGAAGCCACCGGCCAGCCTGTCGTCTGCAGCATTTCCTCTTGCTGCGCCTGTCCCTCGAGATGTACTTCATAGCTGCTATGACTGTTAGCCACCTCGTAATTCGTGTTCGGTCTGCTGTCCCAGTTCTGCTGATCAGTCTCCATTGTGTCCCTAAAGCTCTCTCTGTTCTCCGACGACACACTTTGATTGCCATGACTATTGGCTACCGAGTAGTTAGCCATCTCCTCGCGATTAGCCTCAAGAAATTTCTTAACGGCTAGGTGAGAGTACAATTCACCGTATTTAGGGTGGCTGCTCCAATCCCGGCCGCTGCCGTGGCTATTAGCTAGCGGATAGGTGGTGCAGAGGTCTGACTCCTCGCCGGGTCTTTTCAGAAGTCCTCGTCTCATCCTGTTGTAGATCGAAATGTCGCCTTTACCGTGACTGTCCGCGTCGTCTTCGTCGTCGTCCACTTCGGCGGCTCCCTCGGGGTAAAGAAGCTCTTGCGACTCTTCGATAGCAACTGTTGGTTCCAAGCAAGCGTCGTCTATCAATATATAACCGTCCAGGACGTTCTCGTCAAGGTCGATCCACTTTCTGGGGTAATCCTCGCCCCATTTCTGCCTGTTCTCCGTGTCCTCCGTTTCTGTCGTCTCCTGTCGTCGTCGTTCGCGCATCGATGGGTCTTGCACGTGTATCTGCACCGGGCAGAGGACGTCGGTCCTCCTCTCAATGTCGCAGGTAGCAGCTGGCGGTGTGGTCGCAACCAGAGGCGCGACTTCGTCTAGCAATGCCTCACGGGACTCGCAGTACCTGTAGCCGGGACATGGGGTGTTCACTGGGGAGTGTGAGAGGAGATTCACATAACCGCCGACGCCTCTGCCTAAGAGCGATCAGGTGGCCCTTGGCGAGCCTGGCTCTTGACTCAGCGTGGAGTCCTGGCTTTCGTTTAGAGCTTCGTTGTTCAGTCTCGTACGATTCGGGTTGCAGACGACCTGGAGAGACAATTCAGAGATGTATTAGGAGTACTTCACACGAGGGTTAACCCATTCGTTGCCAATCGTGGATACACTAGTGGTTAGCGAAGTGTTTAGAATTCTCTACAAGGATATCTTCATCGCGTGTTAATTGTACTTTACTGATAAGCGAAATGGACTGATAATACAAGTGAAATTACGTAAGTCGTGCTGGCAGCAAATGCGTTAATGATTGTTATTGTTCGTTGTTAGGAATATACTCGTTCGACAGTTCGAATACTATATTTTAGTAAGTTTTGTCGAGTCTATGATATTAAGGATCTATTAATGAATTTTTCAATGTGAGAGGGAAACACTCATACTTTGGATGAAAATATGTTCATCTGTCTAACTGCTGCCTCGATAAGGATACTCTTTTAATAGTATTACATAAACGATCATTAATTCTTTACGTTCCTGTTATTCAACGAGGCGGAAGTTATTTGGTTAATGATCACATAATGTCAGTTTCTGCTCGAGCTAGTACGAGTTTATTCCTTATTAAGAGTTAGTGAAAAAGTAAGATTGTTACAGGCCACTGGAATGTGTGAAACGGACGTTATGTAATCGACAAATAAAATAGTAACAGTATAACAAGTTCATTTGTCATTCGCAAGAATAAATGAAGACGAAAATTACTTTCTTCCTCGAGTTTGTCTAAAGCAAACTGTATTTGTTCATAAGTACTATTATTAAGACAAAATAAATATGTAAACGTGCCTTCGGATGGCTAATCTTGATGTCCCTGAATTCATCCGTGAATGTTAGGAGGTAGACGCAGAAAGCCGCAGCGCAGATCCATTCGGTGACAGTGCTGGCCACGTGCAATTCAAACCCACCGTCCTCTTTGTACCATTTTTGTGGGTTCGTTCCTGAAACAGGCAAGCATGTCGCGAGTTCGTTAGCGCGTGAAAGTAGGAGATAATCAGCGGGACAGGCAGGAAGGAAACGAACCAACCCTTATAGGCCAAGTGCGACAGCACTCCGGTGATGAGGGTGACGAAGAAACAAACGGTGCAGAAGATGGACAATGCGGTTCGCAGATGCGCGAGTCTCAACGAACATCCGAGCGGATGTAGGTAGAACGTGCACACGGCCTGAAAACGAAACACGTCGATGACTACCTATAGAAGTGCCAGCCTTTATTCTAACAGACAATGAGGGGCCGCGGATTAATCAGCTATTCGGTGAATTATGCAAGATGACTCAGACTTCTTTTCAGGTAATCTAATTATGTGCTGTCGGTGCTTCAATTGTATCTGCCTCTACTAATTTTAGCCCTCCTTCTTTTACTCAGAAGTGTGAAACCTTTTACAGGTGTTATTGCTAGGGATTGTTAAATAATACGTGGAGATCAACCCTTTTGCACTCGAAAGTTTCTTACTAGAAATGTTTAACATTTTTTGACGAGAAGACGATATTCCTTGAAACTAACTCGAAGAAAAATCACAAGTACATTGAGGAACACAGCTATTTTATTCCAATATTTATATTAATTATATTTATATTAAATATCAGATTTTATAGTTTTACCGAGTCAAATCAAATGGTGACTGAGAGTCGCCTTCCGAGTGCAAAGGGTTAATAGTAGGATAAGAATAATAAAAGTTCCATTATAGAAATTTAGGTTTCTTAGGAAATATTTTACTTAAATTATATAACATATCCTTGAATAGTGATTTATTGTAAATTACTCACTTGCGTCCAGAAATAAGCAGTGCCACCACCAAAACAAAGAAGCGCTCCAATGAAATGAACAACAAGCACGGAAGTCTCTTGAAAATTCGCCACAACGGAAAGCCCGAAGGTAGACGTTAGGCCAAATATTAGGGCCCAGTGGTTCCATTTTGGTAAAGATGTTTGCAAGCTGAATATTGTCGTGCACTCTTTTACCTGGGAGTACCTTATATAGACCACGAATGACACTGAAACAGCAATAATAGAAGTAAATAGAAATAGAAATATTTCACTGATAACTTGTCTGCTTATTCTACGCACTTAGAACGAATGCAAGTGTGCAAAACACGTCAAAATAGAATTTCCGAGCATGTTTTAAATAATCATTTCTCTCGTATCTTTATACTGTTCTCTAAAGATTCTTTTCAAGTTGCTCGAGAAACATATATTCTTCATTCTGTACTATTAACAGATTTTATAACAATTATCATTCGTATCGACGCTGCATAATGTTCCTTATCGCCATTGATTACATATTGTTCACAACCGCAAACAAGATAATCATTGTTTATCATCGTGTTCAAAGATACTTTATTGTTATGGAAATTAAATAATTTTTGCATAAACAAGCCAAGATACATGTTCGAGTCATTCGAGTTTAATTAGTGCAACGATCTCGGAATCGAATACTATTTTTACGTGACTGAAAGCTTCGCCTATCCCGCGCAAAACGAATCGAGGTCACTAAACCATGTGCGGACTGCCGATCGATTTTCCCGTCCGTCTGGAATACCGAAAATTCAAATATATCCGATAGTGGTGGTGTTACTCACTGAGCATCGCTAGCATATTGATAAACTGGGCGAATATGCAACTTTCTGGTGCATACGTGGCTGCGTCTGAGATGTATGGGAACCCGGCCTCCACGTGGCCCAACACAACCGCAATTATGTAACTAGAAAAGTGGAAACGGTGAGTCATTTACTGAGCTCGTGAGCATCAAACAGCGTGGAAAAAGATGGAAAACAGAAAAGCAATAATTACGCCCAACTTTTGAATTACAAAGCAGCTCAAAGATAAGATATTCTGGAGAATATTACACTTGTTATACAATTATTTATTAATTTCTTTTTGTCTTGAATAGTTCAACTTTTCCAGGAATGAATTTTGATCTAATACAAATATTAAATACTTTTCGATTTTCCTTAAGTATATTCTTCTCGTAAATTATGTTTTGAAAATATTTGATTAGACAGTTGAATATTATGTTAGTTAAGCGTGATGCATACTTTCACAGATTGCAGCGTGTGTATCAGATGTCTGAAGTATAGCGATTACAACTCAGCAGATGCTAACTGAATACTTTATCTGCTGATGCAAGCGAAACATGATATTAACAGTAACTGCATGAAAGAATTTTTTGGTTCGAGACTGCGAAATATTTGCTATTATGAATGGTCGATGTTTATGTTACGATACGGAAATATAAATGTTCAAGTTCTGAAATAACATTTTTCTATTGTTTAAACAGTCTTACCGAGCATATTCATAGTGTCTTACCGACATATAATTAGCAAGGCAAATATTGAATCTGTAAAATTTCAATTGCATAGTATGTAAAGCTGCACGTGGAAGCCGAGTGTTCGAATGTAAAAGGAATACAAATAATTGCATCGCCGGCTGACATGCTATTCAATTAAGTTATAGTCTGCCAACGCATCTTAAGTTAAAGTTCAAGTCAAATTACGATAAGTATATCTCTCTCTAAATATGCTACAATATATAAAACATAACATAATAAAATCTTATCAAAACTTTTAATAAACGATATAAATAGGTATCCGTTCTATATGGAAGTACCAATTTCAATATAATTTATCAAAGAATAACGTCACACACTATCAAATCACATCCCCATAATTTCAATCGCAAAATCAAAACATTATTAATATTTCTACACTACCAAACTTCACGCAGTCGTGTTCTCTATGAATGCACAAAGTGTATATCCTAAAAATTCTACGTTTATTCTTAAAACAACAAGGATGGTGGCCGTATACATAGATTTTTCAATTAATATTCACGTATATTCTGCATAAATGCGAAAACCAGTAAACTCACGTTACAATAAAAACGCTGGGAAGCGAGATGAACAGGAAGATCGGCAAATAATGGAGATTGGTAAGAAAATCCTGCTTGTCCATGGTGCTGGTGTGCGTTTCTGGCTGTCTCTCGTCTTCCCGCCGGAACCAATGACGTCAGACGTCGACGTCCGCGGTACACACCGCTATCGAGGAGACACACGCGTCGAAGCACGCGTCCACGGGCCACGAACACTCATGCTCGCCTGTTCCAGGAGGCCAGAGACACTTCACTCGGTTTCCTCTTCCCGAGGAGCTAGCCGTTGCAGCCGCTAAATCGACAACCGCACTGCGGTTCGACTGCCATCAAGTTCCTCTTCGAGCCACCTTAGATCAAAACAAAGAACGTTGCGTTACCCGAGCTGCCGTGGAACGTGCTCGTTCTATTTCCGTCGCCGTTGTTTTACAACGAGAGGACCCCGACATTGTAGTACGAACGGATAAAATTAGGTGAACGAGTTACTGCACTCGAAACGACGGTTTCGTCGAGCTGTCTAAGAAAAGTTTCAGAGACAATTTTACTCGGTGTACATGCACCAGAAGGTTTCTCAAGTTATTTTAAACGTGTACCCATTTAACAAAATATTTTGTTGACAGCGTGGATTGAACATACTTCGGACAAGATACATCGTTCCGTGGATTTCCACGAAACGCGTTCGATGTTTCCGGAAATTTCGATTATTTTTTGGCGATAAACATATCGGAAGATAAGCGTATTGTTTTCAACGTAAACACCGTGTCGTTTATTCGATAATATCCACTTACTAGATTAAAGTATTAATAACCATTACACGCAACCGTTTCAAAACACGAAGTGCTTGATATAAATGTATTGAATAATTCATTAAACGTTTCAGAATCGGATCAGAAACATTTCGAACGGAGTATTTTAATATAACTCCGCATTCCAAAAGCTTCTCAGAGCCAGGAAATTACATCATTACGTGAACGTCCCAGCGCATAAGCTTCAAAGCCCTACACCAACCAATCTATCTGTTTATATCACCCTCCACACGTGAACACCCGAAAACTACGCACCGTCTGCGCACGCAGCACATGCACGCATGGACCACCGTTGGATACGTCCGTCGAGCACTATCCGCACAGAGTCTACCAGGAAACAGTCGCGTATCCCGAAATCAATGACTAATCTCGCTGCGATCTCCCCGAGCAGAATAATCCAATTTCCAGCGACTCCCACACCGTCATCAGCTTACCCGCGAATTCATGGGACCCTCCGCGACTTAGACTCTCCCCAGCAGCTTACGAAACACAGAACGTCGCTCCACCCAAATCATCCGATAGAGATCCAACCGAAATCGAGCCTCCTTCGGGAAGAAACTCGCCCAAAATTATATAAGGTGTTATCGCACGTGGTTCCACAGAGCAAGCCCGCGCCAGAAATATTGCACGCGCCCCAAAACGAGCAGCGCGGAACGGCCGGGATTATACTCCACTTCGTCCACGTCGAACGACACTGCACGAATCGCGCGTGCGACGGGCTGGCCAGCCTAGCTCGTGACGCGTGCGAGTATTCTCACGCGGGCGTTGGCGACGGGCAAAAGGGGGAAGCACCCTTTCGAGCAAACACAGCTGGCCAGCGGTGCGTAACAGCGGACACAACGAAAACACATCGAACCCGACTGAAACTGCCGTCTTCAGATACCTTTTCCTTCGACGACGTTTTCCTGGTTGCCTGCTCTGCGCCTGGCCCGTTCCACTGAAACCGTAGATCCTGCCGTAGGGGTAGCACACGTTTGAAGGTCTTCCTGCAGTGCGCTGCTGTCGAATAGCCTTGCCCCGACTTTGCTCCCGTGACGAAGATTTCGAAGTGGCGACGCGCGAATTCGAAGGAAACTCGACGGGAATCTTCGTCGGAACTTCCCACGACGGTTCCGCCGTTTCGGTAGGCTAGAGGGTGAACAGCTAGCGGAGTCGCAGAGGTTATGGCTGACTGGTGGCGGATCGATGCCGCGGCAGCGAAAACGGCGCTCTCGGCAGCTGCGCCACGCGACTGACACCGACGTTATTAGCTTACGTCCTCAAAGAAACACTTATTCGGTTACTTTCTGCGAATGCTTCGGTCTGCAGACTACGCGTGCACGCACGGCGATCGGTTATCGTTGACTAACCGCTCCGGAGAGATAATTTCGATACCGCAACTTCTTGCAACCGCGCGAGAAAACGGCTGAGGTTTTTGCTTCTCGCCGCGAATCTAGACTTTCCTTACGGGGAATTCGGCCCGCGGTGAATGCTTCGCGGAAATCGCGGATTCGGCTTCTTGAACACGTTCGCCGAACGTGACCGAACAAACAGGGACGATTTGGAGCGCTTTTCAACGGTTACCCGATGGTCGGGGGTGGTTGCGATTGGAGGTTTGTTCTTGCGAGAGGACGTTTGAGTTTGGTTAAGGGACTCGAGTGGCGATCGCCGTCGGCAACGTCAGGATCGGGGATCGATGGGTTTGAATTCGAATCGCGCGTAGGATTTCGGAGTACTTTTTCGCTGAAGAATACTCGAGGAGGAGTCGAGGGTAGATAGATCACGTTCGGCGACGATGCATGTTGCGCGCGAAGTGGGATAGTTTAATCGACTGCAGCGAATGTCGGTTATCGTCGGACGTCATCGTGATTACGGACTTCAAGGTTGTTCTTACGCGGAAGTTTCGCATTGATGCGAGACATCGGCGCTGTGCGTTTGTCAGTTTGTCGACGGCTGCTTTTATCGACCGCGGGAGCGGGGAACGTCGGTATCTGTTGGCAAGGAGGGCGCCGCTTCGATTGGAATTCGCGGGATAGGATGTATTTAGACGCTGTATTTTATGGGATCTTTTATTTTCGTCATAGACGTGTTTTTACGACCACGTAACCTGTTTGGAATCGTGATGGACGTTACTCATAATTCAGGATTTAGGCTTGTTAGTGGAAGTAATTTACTTTTAACTGTTGGGCGATTTTAATTGGATTAGATTCGGCTTTAATTTAATCTCAATTTTATTACCATTTTAATATATTATTGTTGCGTTATGAACATTACAAATGCTAACGATTGCTTCATATTTTTATATGTTTATTTTTATATTTAGTTTACAGTGATTTTGCAATTAACTGCGGTCATCGTGAAAATTTCTTCGAGTTTTCATTTGTAACGACTTCCACGCGAGAAGATGTAGGAAATTGGTTTTATCCTTGATAATGTAATTGAGGAATAATATCGAGCTAATGACTGTGGACATAGAATCTGTCTCCTATATTCGGTGATAGAATGTATGATTAAGTATTTTCAGTGAATATTCGATCTGGTATGTTGATTAGGCAGAATGTTGGTTTGTAAATTTAAAAATTATAATGATGTATTAATAGACGGGGTGAAATCAACTGGACTATACACTCAGATGTTTAAAATACTTTATAAAAGGACAGTTTTTAGCAATCATAGCTAAAACTGATTAAAATGCAGCTAATCTGGCAGTGTTAAGTTTCTTGGATCTGTAGGTCCAACTTGTGCAATACGTTGCTGTTCGGATCCTTGTCCAGATATATCAGCTGAAAAATTTGTGTCGTTATTGATAATTCATTGCAAAATCAATTTAAATTAATCGTTAAATTTAAATCCATTGAAAGTTAATATGTTCAATTTTAAGTTTACATTTTTGCTTCAAGAGTAAAGATATTTAGTAGATTCTTTACACGCCTACAGGGTAGGTTTGATTATTGTAAAAATATAATAATAAAGGAGAAGTACCGTGACGACAGGATCCTCGAAATTGATTAACCGAAACTCTGGCACGAATGTTACCAGGAAAGCGCAATAGACTATCGCCAGAGCCCATTCGGAAATAGCGCTAGCGACGTGCCAACCCCAGCCACCATCTGTTGGCAACCATTTCTTGTAATCATTGCCTGCAAGGTATAGAATCGATGTCTTTTCAGTTTTGCGTCGCGCGAAAGACACGAAGAAATATTACCTTGAAACTCTAGCATCGAGATATAGCCGGGTACGATTGTAGCTACTGTCAAAATTAATGTTAACATTGACAGGCCTGCACGAACGTAGACAATAACGGGACCATTCACAGCTGGTACCATTTTGTGACTTAAGTAAGTCTGAAAAGTATTGGTTAAAATACTAATTAAACAATGATACACCTCATATTTGATGTTTATTTTTAGAAATACATTTTTATTCATTTTCTCTAATATATTAAAACTCTTTTGTCCATATATATTAATATAAATCAGTGTTACCTTAGATTTTTACTCGAATACCCTCTTAATTTCTATTTATGGAATTTGTTTCAATACCTATTTAATCAGCAGTGCTTATTAAGATAAACTTGTCTACTTAGACACAGATTTAAGTTCAGTTAAATATATTATAGATAAATTAAGTTAAGTTGTGATATCGTCAATTTACATATTCATCTAGTCACTTGCTTACATAACTATTTGCACATGCATTAAATAATTGTTTGAACAGCCATGTTACCTGAAGACAAAAGTAAACAGTTCCTGCAGTGAAGCAGGTCATGGCACCAATCATGTGGGCAGCGACGACGCGAGCTTCTTGAAAATTAGCCAGAATGTCTAGGCCGAAGCAGGCCAAAGCCCCGCACCAGGCCGTCACAACAACGATCTTCTTGCTGACGAGATCGCTGCCCCTTTCCAATTGCCATTGAGAAACTTGCCGATGTCTAATGTACACGCAACAGGCGACTAAAATGCATATTTCTAGTCTTTCCTCAATTCTTCATTGAATTCAACAATATTTGATGTACTAATGGCTAATTATTCACTAAAAATTACACATTACCCATTACACATTACACAAGTAACATTCTTAGCTTAGTGAATTCCATATTCAATTTTTAAAAATATATAGTACGAAATTTTCGTGTGATGTTCATTTCTTTTTTTATTATCACGTTAGATTTCAGTTGACGATAACATCAAGTTATACTTTTATTCGTGTCTACTATAATTCATAATACGAAATTTAGTGAAGCTGTATTGATATTTTCATTGAAACGTTGTTCTAAATTATGTATTAGTACATCTGTATTAATGGAAAATTGATTGACATTTACGGAGCAGCGTGGCTATGTTAAGAAACTGTGCGAATATACACGATTCCGGCGATAAGGTTCCTGTTTCCGATATGTAAGGGAATCCTGGCACCACGTGGTCCCACTGCACGGATATAGTGTACCTGAAACCCGATTAATTTGTAAGTTGAAGCGATTTGATTCTCCAATAAGAATTATTCGAATGTACATACAAATTTATACAAATTCTATACATAAAAGAATTATATATAAAATATGAAATATAAGAGCGAAACATTTCTTTATGCGAGATCATTTTCTAAAAATTAATTAAGAAAGTTCTTTTAACACGTCTTGATACTCGGTGATTCTAGTTATAATATGCACTTACATACATATAACAATTTTCATTCATTTTTTCAAACAATTTTCTGATTATTAATATACATCGAACTATTATCAACACCAGTAAAGCAGTAAATTTTCCACTTCAACCGAATGAAAGCTTCGAGCGAATTCAAATGAGCTCATTCCTCTGCCATTCAATTATATTTTTCCAGTGAAGCATGCGTTATTTACAGAGCAATGTCCCGCGACGATGCGCGCACAGCGGGACATAATGCATCACGCTAATCATGATTTACATCGCGATATCGGAAACAGAACGGACGGTTGTTTCCGATATCACGTCCTTGATCAACTATAAACCAGTCGATTGACGTTCTTCGATGTTCGATGGTTCCATGTCTATCGAGGAATTGCAACAAGTATTTCTTTATGAAATCAAAAATGGTTTATTGCTAAGAAAACATTGGAAGATAATTTAATTGAATGCATTGGACTCCGTTTTTCTGCGGATGGACTTACGTAATTAGAAATGTCACTGGAATCAGGATGAACAGGCTCAGCGGGAGAACGTGAAGCTTTCCGTACGGCATTCTTCACTCGTTAGTTTCAGAATGCTGAAAAATATGTCCTTGTCATCGAAGTACAATGCTTCGTACAAGCACAAGCAAAGTACAAGTTGCTCACGATTCGAGTGAATACTATTTGACGCACGTAGAATGAGATAGGATGGTTAGACATTTGTTATATTAACATTTGTTATATTAACTGTCAGAATAACGTATCCGTGACACCAATGATTAATAAATTAACTTCTTGTTTTGTAACGAATTTTATAAGTAGATTCGCAAGAGTTACTTTAATATGAATACTTCCTTTCATCAACTTATGATCCGAAGAATATCTGTATTTATTAGATTTAATTTATGGTTCTGTCTTTGACGCCAGTGGCTGACTACAATGGCGAAAATGTGGGAGGGTAAGGAGATTTTTAATAAAATTGAAACTTACGGTGATTTATTAATTCTTCTTTATTTCTGATTTGGCTTCGGTCGACATCTGGATTCACCCTTTGCACTCAGTACCTAATGAAATTTATCAGTCTTGATATTTTGTATCACATTGGCACGTAAGTTGATATTAAATTTCTACAGAATTACTAATCAAAGAAAGTCATCCCAAAAGTTTTACATTAATACAATTTTTCACTTCACTTTCAATACGAAGAATGCAAGAAGAATGATAATTATTCAATTACAAGTTGGTTCCGGAAATCAGCAATAATAAACGTTCACTCTACAGGCGACAAAATTTAAATGAACCCAATTTACGCTACCAAATACTACAAAATCTCCATTACAAAATACTCAAAAACTTATCTAGCCACTAACTAATTTGAAAAATGATATCTATTAATTAATATATTGATAACTAAAGAATTCAAATGATGATTCCGCCATAAAGAAATACGATTATCAAGCATATACATTTATACACAGCATCCGTAATCATAATTTATTCGAGAATAATTATCGGACCAAGTCAGTGATTAACTGAGCCACGATCATTGTTTAAGTATGCCCGTTCCGCGAACCACCGAGAAGTAAATTAACTCGACGTTCCGCGAATGTTGATCGCCGCGTTCAGCGATTTCAAAGAAGCCTGACACCTTACCTCGAGGATTTTATCGGACTCCCCGTTATCGTTTTCGCGTGGCAAGGTGACTGGGCCTACGCCAGGGGGGCACTTCGTCATGGGGCGCCTTCAAGCAACTGTCCGTCAGCGCTGCGAACATACCTCTTGCCCTACGCAATCTGCCAATCGCTGATCAACGCATACGATTGCGTTGCAAACCGTATTTAACGCTCCGCGTGATTCCGTCGCGGACCTATTCGCCGACGAATTCCGAACGAAATCCTTCCGAGAACCATCACTCTCGAAGTTTCAATTCATTCTGAATTGTTCATTACAAATTATGACACGATTAGAAATTGCAAGAAGAAAATTAACCATTTCGAACTGTTATTATAAGATACTGTGATACGATCGACGAGTTTTGTAAAACATTTTGCAAAACGTGTATATCAATTCTGAGGATCTGGAGTGGGTGGCACGAAAGAGGTAAGAGTGAAGAGAATTGATTTTATGTTTGATTTTATGTTACCTATAGAGATTAAGGGGTGCAGAAAAGTAATTTGTGTTGACTCCAGTTTTTGACACAGTTATAAGAAATTGTTGTATATATACAAAGTGTAACAAAATTATTGCGTACGAATGATAGGCCGTGTACGACTCACTAAATGAATAAAAAACGGCAGTGAACATGAGTCCAAAACTCAATAGTTTCCGAGGTAGAAGTAGGTTTAGTTTAAAAAAGAATGTATGGGGACTGAATCAAGAATTGAAACCACTACGATCGAACATAAAAATTGTATTTGCATATCGAATTAAGAGTTCAACTAATTCAAAATGTAACTGCTAATAATTCCATCTAACTCGAGTATATGTATTATATTAGTTATATTATAGTAGCATATATTTTATATTATATTGTATTATATTAGTAGTTATATTTTGAATTATTTGAACTCTTAATTAGATATGCAAATACGATTTTTATGTTTCATTTTAGTGGCACTGCGAGGATTTTCTTTGCAATTCGGCGTTGAGCTAGACAATTATATAGGTTTTGGGCACGGGAATTGTTTGCACGGAAATTGCTGAGTTATCGGTTGCGGTTTACATCGATGTTGCGGTCGGCTCGTGACTAGAGCGAATTAGAATTTATCGATAAAGCATTGCCGGCGCGCAATCGGCCGCGCTCAATAATTCTCGCATGCCAGCGGGTGTAATAAACGTTCGAGCGCTGGGCTATCAAGAGTCTGTAATAAAAGTAGTATTACTAGTATTACATCTGTTGATATTGTAATCTAATATGCGCCGGTGTAGCTCGAGTTAAACTAATTCAATTTTAATGACGCGTGAAATCTTCCGTTATATATTGTTGAGAAAATATTTGTTATTCGTAATAGCTTCCAGATATGATTACAAAGTGAAGATACAGACGGAATATTCAATATTGTTGTTGATATTATATAACGTTAAATTCATCTTGATAATTTAAGATGGTAATTTATATTACCGTGTAAATGGACCGTAAATACCGATTAATCTTCGAGTGGAATATGGTAAATCAGTTGAAAGATTAAATAGTTTTCAATGAAGCAATAATGTACCCAGGCAAAAGAAGTTACTTGATAACAGAATTCATTTTTAATCGCGTACGGGATAAACACAGTTCGATTTTTATTACTTTCGTACGTGTCATAGAAGAATATCGATATTATTATATAAGAAATGAATTCTTTTCAATAAAATCAGACAACTTAATTGAATATTTACGAGTTGTTACGTTGTGTATAGCATCTCTTGGAGCTCACACTTTCGATACGAGGAATTGTAATAAGCGTAATCGTTCCTTTTTCAGCGATTAAAGGAAACACTTCTCCAAGCGTTCACGAGGGACTTTTACGTCACTGGAAAGGCTGTAAACCGAAATTAATGCTACGTCGGAATCGCCGCCGGCAAAAGTGCGCTGCCGGCGGTGTCTCGGTTTGGACGAGGTAATTGCGGAGGAATGTAAAGTCGTAAAGTAGGTTAACGAAGGGAGGTATAAGTGGATTTGAAAAAGAATTTCATATGAACTCCACTTCACACTTTAATTGGTCCGTGAATAATCTGTTTATTTCTTTTTTTCTCTCGTCAGTATTCTTTCTTACTTCTGTCGCTATAAAAGTTATGAAATTCGCACTTTCATACTCGTCGTTCACGGGAACATAGTTCGGTTCTAGCGTTCGCTGGAGTGTCGTTTCTACGTGTAATTAACCCTTTTCACTTGACAGTTCTTCAATGGAAATACTGAAAAATTTTCTGATGAGATACAGAGCGTATTCCTTGAAACTAACTTGAAGAGAGATCACGCGTGAATTAAGGAACAAAGCTCTTTTATTCCCAATGCTTCGTATATCCATGCGTTATACAATGTTTAACATTAAATACCAAACTTTAGAATTTTGCTGTATCAAATCAAGCGACGACGAGAATTGCCTCTCGAGTGCAAAGGGTTAGTGAAGAAAGAGAAGATGGGGTGGGTAGAATGAGGTAGTTGGTAAAATCACATTTCGTTTTGTATTAACAACGTTACAATGTTACAATTATAGGCAGTTCAGTTGTTGTTCGGTTTATTGTGCAGTCCCACGCGATGAACGGTACTTCGTGAAATTTATTGTTCCTTGTTGTTCCTTACTCAACACGGTCGACTAGCAGTCACATATTATCACCTCGCTAACGATAATAAACGTAACGTAAAATATATTCGATTCTTTCTTCGTTGAACGTGGATCTGAATCAATGATTAATTACGTCGATTAATTACAATGATCCATTAGGTTGGATCTTCGTTTATTAAAACGTATCCCTAGCACCTTTTCCTTCTAAGTATTTTCGACTCGCTTTAATCCGATTAATCTAACAACAGAAAAGAAACGTTCAATCGTTCGCGTACTAAATTCGCTGTCTAAATTTCTATTCGAATCACCGAAAATTCTTTCCGATCTCGATCAATCCAGAGCACCTTAATGATAATAATATAGATCGTATTAAGACGTACGTACTGTCTAATATAAATAGCTCGATAAATAAATAGGTGTCGTTGCCTTTGGGACTTTTTGCGCACCGTTCGCGAGCCGTTCAATCGACAACGGTCGAGCGAACAACGCACGTCGGAAAGCTCTCGAAAATGTCCCGAACGACGGTACAAAGATAAATTCTTGCATCTGTGTACAATATTCGTTATTCGTTATACTACGCCACTTATCGCTGCGTACGAGCTTCGGTTGGACTAGTTTCAATACCATCAGCTAACTTCGCCTAAGTGCAAGCGTCGACCTTTCATCTTAAACACTCTCTTTGCGAGGACTTTATATAGGTCTCGATATTTTTTCACATCGACAGGAGTTAAACGATCTCGATTTCATATTGAAGTTGTTAATTTCTTGATGCTCTTAAATAGTGTAACTAACTATGTAAGTGGAGGTCCTGAATTTGAATTTTTATATCAGAAGCAACCCTTGTCAGACTAAATTAAAAAAATTGAATTGACTTTTATTTAATCCTTGTATATTGTTTCGAAAATATTAATAGTCTGTGAATTATATTAAATTGGCTTACGATTACTAAAGTAAATTTTAGATTTCAGTTTATAATAATATAAACAGTCAATATTATAGGGGAATATCTATAACAAGAATATTAGTTAAAGAAATCCGTTTGTTATATTCTGGAACTGTTACAGGATTAATCTGTTTCGTTAAAAAAGAAGGAAATTAACATCCACCGAGATTCTAAAATAGGGGTTGTTTTCTTAATAGCATATCGTATGTTGTTATTGCAAATAAAACTGTTCGTTCAGACACTGAATCGATATAATAGCGTTTAGTGTCTCAATTGCTCAACCGAGGATCGTTCAACCCTTGCAATCTACACGTGGCAGTGAACCGGCACGAAGCTTAAACAAACACGCCGACACGAGTCGAGGTTATCTCGCTGTGGACGGAACATTTCCGTGGTTCCTCTCGTCGAGATCCGACGATGTTATTGTCCTTAATTGCACCGCGAATTAAGTGACTCATTTACTGGGATCGGGCGCTGAACACTGTCCAGATTATCGTGTCACTGTTTGCCAGGCTACCCCTAATACTCCCTAGCGATGCCTTAAAATCAGAGAGGAACAGACAAACGACGAATTCAATTGCTGGCAGCTCAACAATACAAAGAAGAGAAATCAAAACCATTAGCCTCTTAAATCCTTTCATTCCTCCCCAACGAAATTAAAGCGACTCGAAATTTCAACTTAACAATATGCATCGCACAAAAATTGAACGACGATCTCTAGTTTTGTACTATAACAATCAATCAATCGTCAATCGAAAGATACAGCAAGCATAACTTCGTCCTTACAATTGGACCAGCTTATTTTTTCTCGTATGTAGAAAGATTAACAAGTTCCGGAAAGGAAGTATCCACCCAGAGAATTGTCTTCAGCGACTTCTAATGGATCTTCGGGTGCAATCCTTCGTCAAGGTGTCTTGACCTTGATCGCAATGTGTCGTGTTACGCGCTTGCTTCATCGATCACGGTGATCACTCTATTGTTGGGGGACAGATTCGCGACGTGCCACTTCGATTTTGAGTTCGGCTCTTCATTGGTCGGTTGAAGTCCTCCGGCTCGATCCGCCGTTGACTGGTCGCCCTTTGAACGAGCCAGGGACCATCTTCTGCCCCGGCGGTCGGTGATGATCGGTATCTCGGCCATCAGATTGTTCTCGAATTCCGACAGCATCAGATAGTTCTCTACCTTGTTGCAGGAAGTGATGCAGTCGCCGATGTAGTCTAGATCTTCGAGCATGTTGTCGGGCAGGTCCATGTCCGCGATACCCTCCTCCGAGATGCACGTTAGTTCAGGCTTCTCTGGAGCTAACGCGTCGATCATCTCGCCTGCAGTGAAATTAAAGATTTCTTAGGATTCCCCTGAGATTTTGTTTTATTATTTTGATTTTAAGATTGGCATTTGTAGAAATATATCGAGCAAAATGTAGTTCGTTGGGATATATGAAACGTAAGAGTATTAGAATAAAAGTAAGTTACAAAAGCTACCATCGGAAGACAAAAATCTTATTACTAATTCTCTATTAGGACTTTACTACTGATTTACTATCTTACTACTAGGATTTATTTTACTTTATTATCCTTGGCACTCGGAAGTTCTTCGCTAGAAATATTTTTACATTTTCCGATGAAAGTAAAGACCATATTTTGTGAAACTAACTCGAAATCGCACGTATATTGAGGAGCAAAGCTATTTTATTCCAATATTTCTCAAATTGATGCGTTGTACAAGGTATAGTATTAAATAACAAATTTTGTAGTTTTACCGTATGAAATCAGGTGGTGAGTGAGTAACCTCTCGAGTATAAATGGTTAACCCTTTGCCTTATAATATTGACTCAAATTCGTAATGATATCTTTGTCTACTTTAAAATCAATAAGTCGTAGTGTTAAGAAATCATAAGTTGATTGATTACGACTTACACAAAATTGAGTATCGATTTATTTATTAGTATAAGTAATACTTACCCGGAGATGGTGCGATTTCAGCTCCAAGAACAAGTGCAGCTGCAGCGGCTCCTGCAGCAGCCACGTGAGGACTGTCATTGTCCGGTTCTTGACTGAACGACAGTCGCCGTCTTTGCGGGCACGTGTCCGAGATGCAAAGATGCTTGGTCCCGTTAGACCTGGTGTGCTTGTGCCTCGACAAATTCCTTCTATGGAGGTCAATGAAGAACAGGGTAAAACTGCCCACGAGAACGCAGGTGGAGCTGAAATAGTAACCAGCCTTCCCGCCGTAGCCAACGTTCATGTATCCTGGAAAAATTATGGCCGGTCCGCCGAGCGGTTATAATTTTTCATATTTCCGCGGACCCTGGTCCGCAGTCGTTTACATGGAGATTTATACAGTCTGTTATATCGCATGTATCTCCCCTCGCAAGTTACTAATTGTAAGAAATGTTAATTGTACTGGAAAAAAAGTAATTTGATGATAATTTGGATTTGGTGGCAGGACATTTTACAGCTGACTTGATTATACATATTATTAGATAAATGATATGAATTTTTCTGATAAATTTGTAACTTCTTGTGATTTTCACATTAATTTGGAAGGTTATTTAAATACTTAGCGCATATATATTAAAAACTTTGATATTTGTATCAAGTAGATTAATTTTTAATCCAAATTCCAAGTAAAAGGGTTGATCACTTTTGCTATAGAAAATTTGTGGTAAACATTGATTTTATGCAGCAATTGGTATTGTTATAGTGTGAATAGTTGGTAACTTTTTAGAGCGATACTATCGCATTTTTCAATTATTTCCTTATGTTCGTTAATGAAATGGTACCTGATATCGGAACTCCGATTGCTATCGGTATTGCCTGAGAACACTGCACGAAGCCCCACGTTCTTGCGAAGTTTCTCGCCCTGACTCTTTCGTACGTGTACATTTTGAGGCTGTAGTGGTAACCACCGCAGAAAATACCTATAAATTAATAAAAACAAATGAAACCTCGTTGCACATTAATTACCAATCTGAGAGGAAAATATATTACTCTGAGCCCAATAAATTGAAACTCAGAATATCAATTTTAAATTGACAGTGCAATATGTAACATTATAACTCTAATCAATTTAGTAATAGCACACGACACTCCGTTACCGTGTCACAAAATTATAAAACGGATGTGCGAGCAAAAAGATTCATAAACGTAATTACGTATGCGTCGTGGCGGTCCACAAATCACGCTGGTATAAAATTCTCAACCCTCACAAATGACTGCATGTATGAATTATCATTGTTTCACGATATAAAGTCAATGATCTCCATAACAAAAAGGCTCATCGAAAGATTTATCGACTAGCGTTTGCATTATATCAGTTCGAAACGTTTATAACAGTATGCAAATTCGAACGCCAATGATAGCCAAGTGTATCATTCGATCCGCTAATCTTCTGTATCCTTTGAATGTAAAACAAAACGTGTTTACAACAAAAACTGGACGTTAAGAGATTTATGTGATTCTGTCTTCTAATAATTGCCACTAACTGTAATTGCGTGGTTCTAGCGGCGCAATAAAGTGTACACGGTTTGTGCACGAAGTCGTTAATTGCAGGTTCGTCAAAATGCAATGTCTTCATCGGAGAGGGCGGGCTCGATCACGACCGAGTATACTCTACCATAAATCCAGGCGAACATGACGTATCCGTGATAATTCCCTTGGACGGCGGTTAGGGCTAGAATACACACTCCGCATACGAACACCGCCGCTTGCGTTAGGTACTGGCGCGCTATCCTGCATTCGACGCTTCGATGCACAACCAGAAGACCAAAGGCCACGCAACCGAGGGTCCAGGCTAGGCCGAGGTAAGCCTGGAGCAGGATCACTGTGTCACCCAAGCCTTCTTCTTCAACTTGATGCGCCTGGGATTCAACGGAGAAACATGGAACAATTAAGGTTCGCGTCGAAACATTTATTTATTATTCGTTCTTTGATTTCCTACTGGAGTTTTAACATTGCTGAATTCATCAATTGGAGGATAATATTGCTAGTATTGATATTTTTCGAAATTTATTGACTGAGTCAAGGATTTATGAGTGTTACACTATTTGAATGTTAGATATTGATGATTTGTTAGTGTTCTAAGAGCAATTTTTCCGTAGTATATAGGGTATTATGGTTTAGACTTTTTCCTGGGATCAAAAAGTTCCCTAAGATTTATTTATTTGGGTAAATGCTTATGGTATAGATGTAACTGTTCAACTCCTTTTGTATTTTCTGTATAAAGGTTGTAAAGTTATAGGGGTTAAAGTGACATTGAGCCGGTTTTACCAAATAAAATATCGGTGTATTGATTCCAAAAGCAGATATTCCGGTGGACATCAATAGTATCCTCACGGTTTTGCTTTTGAGCGTACTGAAATCGAAGAAGGGTGGCCTGTCATCAGTCTTATTCTTATCTTTGATCTTGCGCTTTTGATTTTTCAGGTGTAGAATCGCCCTTCGTTGCGGATGGTAGAGGGACGCGCTTCGATAAAAAGTGCCCAGGATAAAAGTGAGAAAAACTACGCCGGTCACCGCCTGGAGGCCCAGACGCCAGCCGATTTTACTGAAAAGAAGATAAGTCACGTCGTTTATCAATGTTTTAGAAGTTGACTGCAAGATAATTCACCAGGGGGAGTAAGAAACTAAATCAACAATGTAAAACAACTGGGAAATATTCTTCGAACATTTTCTTTTATCCATCAGCTTTAACAGTGATTAAGTATTCATAAATTTAACTTTTTCTTCTTTTTCAATTCCGAACGTTATTCAATTTAAACTGCACGATTGCTAGGTACTGAATTCATTATTCAAGCGTATACCTAATAGCTCCTTTTATAAAAGCCGACATGACGGCAATACCAAGGCCACTTCCGGACACGACGAAGATCTCGACCAACTCCCTTCTTCGTTTAAAATACTGCGCTACCATCAGCGTACTGCAGTCCCTTGTCATGCCAACTCCTATACCTGTGATAAATAGTGTAAGGTTTTCTTCCTATAACGACTTTTGATAACAGAACTATAGTATATGAATGTTGCATGAAAATTCAGAAGACTTTTGAAATTAATTTTTCATTTATTAATTAACAATTAATTTATTAGACAGGATTTTATTTATTAATTAACAGTTCATTTATTGGTCACGATAAGAACAGGATAGAAGGTAATAAAAAGTAGTTAGCATGTTTTATTTATCGTTAATGATTAATGGTGATTAATAAGTGTCATATTATACTAATTGTGTTTATAATTGTTGCAAGTATATATTTTATTGTTGTTAATGTTATAATATTGATTTCTCTGTTGCTTATAATCGTTTAGGATTTACAATTGCAAGTCGACTCACCAACAACGGTTCCATAGCTGAAGAACAGCTGATGGAACTGCGTAGCGAACGAAGTGAACAGGCAACCGAGTGCTGTAACGAGACCGCCTAGAACTGCTGTAAGTCTTGTGCTTTTCCTTCGGCAGAACGCTATCGTCACGGGAGAAACCAGCAAAGCGACGCCTGTTGAGATCGCGCCCAGCCATCCTGAAAAAAGATTGACGGCTTCTTAAAAATCTTTGAACAAATATCAAGTAACTTTATACTTTCAAGTGTTTCTTGATGTGCAATTAATTTTTTTTTAAGAATAAAGCAATAATCTGTACATGATTCTAATAAAAATATAATTTTTAGTTTATTTTCAGTCTAATAAAAATGAAATTTTATCGGTAAAAGTACATATTTACAGAAATACCTGTAGTCCTGTTATATTTATTCAATATCGAAATAAGTCTTGTCTCATATTATATACAAACCTAGGTTGACGCCATTTTGAACATATAACGAAATTTACAACCATGTTTCAGAGATTAAAACTAACAAGAAGTTTTAATCAACGTGAGTTAGGGAACTCCTAGTTTCTTATGAGTTTGACCTTTATGAAGTTATTGCATTAATTTGCGGAGATTTATCGTTTGCATGTTCACCACAGTGTGATGATATAGGTGTTCGGACGGTAGCAGTTAATAACGTGCCCTAATGATAATAAAAATATTTTCTAGCGTAGAAAATAGATCTTTGTATTCTTAGAATTAATTTTTACTATTATAATGCTTCTATCATTTTGCTTCATTGAAACATTTCACCACGAAACTGATAATAAAACTTCTTTAAAAAGGGAAACCTATACATAAAATCGTTATCTCAACCAAATGAAATGGCATTTTCATTTTGTTCGTATTATCTTCTGGTTTCCCTTAGTCCTTTACATATTCACAGTTTCATACATTTATTTCTTCAAATGAGTATTTACATTCGACATAAATATCTTCCTTGTACAATTCGAACTATTCAGAACTACAATTATATTCCTTCGTTTCCCATTTTCTTACTCTTTAATCGACTACCAATAAAACACACTCACAACTCGATCAAAATCCAACATTACTTCCTTCAATCTCTAATTACTTCTACAAAGTTCTTATTATCCCCTGCAAACATCCATTATCTCCGAAACGTTAAATCTCCCCGAAAGAAATCGCCGATTTATTAGCGAGGGCTCGTTAAAATTCAATAGTTCCCGCCGATGATAAAATCGCTGGACCAGAAACCGTCCGAGTACTATAACGAGTCGGGTAATCCGTTGAAACAGTATTCGTTGCTGTCGCGTAACGGGCGATTGCGAGATTAATAACCGCTCTTTTTATCCTTCGGTTATCCCCCTTTTGTTTCTAGGAGCTTGCTGGTCGCAATTCCCGCGATAGAAGGCATTCCCGGCCAGTTGATCGATGAGCCCACTCGACGGACACGGGAACGGTGAAAATTAATTAAATGACTCGGCTCCGGCTCCGAGAGCGGCCGGCTAATCGCCTACTCGACGCTGTTATAATTAAAACGGTCTTAACCTCGATCGAGAGTCAACTGCTGTTTAGTAACGTTGTCAGTATTGATACGAGTATCCAGCGGGGATCGATCCATTGCGCTCGAAGAATGAACGATGACTCGGATGTTCGGTCACGATGATTTCTGGGGCGTCGATTTCCGACGTCCGCGATACGATCTGGTAATAAACGCCATGGCTATTGCTTTCTATATCTGTACTTCTAGATATGGAATTTAATAATCATTCTTACGATTTTTTATCTGTTGGTGATAGATTCATTTTAGTTGTAATTTGAATTTGAATTTTTAGGTTCTAGTAATATTCTAAGTTGTAGTAATAATTTAATTATCGGAAATCGGATTGAGATCGGATAAATGTTAGTGAGGTTACTATTATTAATGATGGATTTATATCTAATAGGATGATGGAATTATCGTTGAAACGTATAAAGTAAAGAACGGACAACAAATATCTAGAAATAGTAATTTGGAAATAGTGAATTTGATGTGATAAACTGTATTCGCATGATCTAGTGCTCGATTATTAATTATATGCTTCAGGTACTTATTTACATTTTCAAGCTTTCCAATTAGAACAGGGTCTTAGAAAGAAGGCGTTAGTATACATAGCGATTCATCATCGCGTACTCTCTCGAACGGATCGACAATCGTGGTCATAAACATCGACGAGCATGAAACACAGCAGCAAAGTCATCGATCACGACCCGACTCGATTCTAATTGAGGGAAACTCGGTGCTGTGAACCGTTTATTATGATTGCAAACTATGAGCGTGAAATATGGCTGGCTAGGATCATCGAAGTGGCGTATGAGGCGCATAAATCGTATATTGAACTATATAGGATCGAGGTTTGTGGGAATTTTGAATAGCAACAACGGCGGGTCGATGAGAGTAAATGTTTGGAGTCAGTGTTATTTGGTTTTCGGTTTAACGTGTTAATATTAGATTATTTTCTTAAGTAGGTTAATATTATCGTTTTTATTAACTCTCTGCAAGTATTCTGTTCACAAAGCGGAACGTTTCACCAATGTAATGATAGATATATAATAAGAATACTATTACATAAAATTATTATAATTGTATTAGATATATGAATTAAAATAATATGTATTTTTATCCGTTTTATAAGGAGATGATTCTATGTGAAAAGGAAATATTCAATTTGATAAATCAGCGTTAAATAAATCTTCTGCACTGGCAAGTTTTTATTCGAAATGAATATCCATTGCTAGGACTTGAAATCTTCTTTCTCTCTTAACTTTTTGTTTTCACGTACCAGACATTTTTTCCTGCGATTTCGACGACGCGACGGCGGATATATACGGACAGATTTTCTGGAAGACCAGTAGGGTGTTCGTGTTTTTATCGTTTGAATCGTTCGCAGTAAACGGCTGCGGAGAGAAATTGGTTTGACGACTGTGTTCTTAGTTCCATTCACACGACGCAGAATTTTGTTCATTCCGAAACAAGTGTTGCTTGTAGATCATGATAGAAACTGATCTTGATAAAATCGTTGTAGTTTATTCACTTTCATTTTCTGCATCTAAATATAATCGAAATGTTCCAATCTCGTAATCACAGTTAGATTCAGAGTTTTTGTCAATTTTTATAAGATACCAAGGAACACTGCAACACAAGATTCAATAGAATTCAGTAGAATTCAATAGGATTTAATACAATTTATTACTTAGCATCAAAACTGTTTCCACAATAAACAAAATTCTGTTTAATCGAACTTCCTTAAGACACACTATAAACACCACAAATCTTCCGAAGACGGGTACCAGAAATTTCGTCCTTTTATTCTGTCGCTATCATGATCCATATAAACATTTCAATAATTCAGACAAATGTTAGGATACCAGATAAAACACAGTAGCTGCCGTGGGTGTGTAGTGCGAGTGTTCGCGCAACAAATCGTCCGGAAATGGAGACGAAGGATCGTCCAGGGTCTTGTGAATATCCGGGGAACGTCTGACGCATAATACTGCAGGCATTACGTATCGTTTCCCTCCCTAGGGCTGATTGCCATCCCTGTCATCGGTCAGAGGCAGAATAGCCTGGACTGAATTCCAAGGGTGGTTATCCGCCTCCATCGCGTCTTAGAAACCGGAAGACGGATGATAGGGCGAGTGAATTGACGAATGAAGAGGTCAATAACCCGATGGATCGTGAGACCGTTTTTCCAGCGACCCTGTCCAAACAAGAAGACTATCCCGGTGGATCAAGTATGCTTCGAGATATAATCGAGAGATCGTGCGGTATCTATTCTGTAGAAACTTTGCGCTAGACAGTTTGCACTTGGATAACGTCTCAAGGCTAGAATCAATTGATTCTTTTTACTTTCGAAAGAGAATAATTCGATTCAATCCTGAAGAAATTATGTAGAGTTGTTTTATTTTATATTTGGAAATGACTTGTCTTCTTATGTATAGAAATTTAATTACAGTTTATGAAATACGACGAGATGGTATGGAAGATATATAAAATAGTTCTGAGTATACATTTATAAGAGAACTGTTAGGCCACTTGGAGTTGGATATAGAAGTTGAAATTTTCAATTTCAATGAAAACGTAGAACATTAAGATTGATGTTACTAATTGCGAGTAAATATACACGTATAATAAATTACAAATTGCTGTTTCAGTAATATAATAACATATACCATTGGTATTCAATAATCTTAAATTCACAGGAATAAAACCTGACTTTATATTATTAAACTTTTCATCTTAATATTCCCGATTCAGTTGCATCAGTCGTAATAATAAAAACTCTCTGGTTTACACATGAATTTTTCAGTCTGCTGGATTGTATCGCACCTAAACAATGGAGAACGCTGTTGAGAATCAAGGAGGGAAAGTGGAGCTCGTTAACGGCACAAAATGGCGGAGGACAAAAGGAATCCGGCGACAAAAGGTGGCGGAGGTGGCGCACCGACGAGAAAAGAGTAAGTGGTACCAGTCGGAGTTGTTTTTATGGGAATGATATTGATGCCAGGCGGCTGTGGCAGCAGTTTTCGGCGTTCCCCGTGAATAATAACAACGCATCGGCTCGAACTTTCAACCCAGGCCGCGCAATAGTCCCGCGGAACGTCTCAGAAATGGTTACAGTTATTGTACGGCGCGCGGAGAACTGCCGACGGAGATTGTTCCTTTTCTTTTTACTGCATGAAATATTCAAACGGCATCCTACGGGCTATCCTCCCGCCGCCAAGGTCTGTTGTGTACTGAACTTGAGGAGTTTCTTTGTTTGGTACGATTTCTGCGTTGGATTTATTGTCTTCCACTGCTCTGAACTTTGCGAAGACAGGTATGTACATATCGATATAAGCAGTGGAACTGTCAATATTACCATTTTGATTTGTGCAGATGCTTTATTTAAAAGAATTGCGTGGTTGCAAGTTGGATGTAACAAAAGATTAAACGGATTAAATTAATGAGATTATTGTGTAATCTTTTAGGAGATATCTAGATATTCTTTTAGAGATTGAAAATAAACAGTTTGTGCTATGTTTCGCAGAAAGAAATAACAGTATTTCTGAATCTTCTCGTTTGGAGGATTTGAATTATTTTAGAAACGAGTTGACTAGATTTCAAGGTTTCTGTAGAGCTGTTCCCATTTATTGTTCTCAGTAAACTGTGGGCGTGTCTTGTGCCCTCCACGTGGGGCCACTAACCTTGAG